TCCTGAGATAACTTCTGTTATGAATTTGGCGCTATACAAATAAAATTGAATTGAATTGAATTGTTTATTGGCCCTACCTGGATAATCAAATTTTAAACCAGAAGTTGCTCCAAGATAATTTCTCTTTATTATCTTCATCTCCTCATTCTGTTATAATTCAGGAACTTACATTAAATAAGCTCCTGGTTTTCTTCCATGCCGTTTCTGTGGTTACTATTCTCACACAAGTTTAAAAAAGGTCAACCATCATCAACTCAGACTGCACTGGTACAGTATTGTGTACAGTCCCCTTTTTTCTGGTTGATCCCATGATTTTGCCTTTCTGATGCTATGCTACCTTTTTTGTGTTTCTCAGAAATGTTCAACACCCCTCCCTGGAGTGCCAAGATGTCCTCCACTCTCACCTCTCAGCATGCAGTAGCTGTGCTGCGTTCAAACCTCTGGCCAGGAGCTTATGCATATGCTTGTGGAAAGTAAGTGCAAAGTCAGAAACAAATGTGAATATTCTGACTTTCTGTTTGATTTCTCACAGTAACCTGCTCTTTATTTAGGAAGTTTGAGAACATATATGTTGGATGGGGTCTGAAGTATGCAGGGGGAGGGTACAACCCACCTGTCCCCCCACCACCACAGAAAGAATATCCCAGTGGACCAGAAATTACAGAGGCCCTGGACCCATCACTGGAGGAAGAACAGGCGCTGAAAGAATCTTTAGAGGAGCAGCAAGCTGCCCAGGAGGAGTTGGAGAACACAGATGAAGAGGAGGAGGAAGATGATGACTAAGAAAACAGTCATACATTTTAAATTTCGTTTTATCTTTGAAGTATTTATTTGTAAGTCACTGGCCAAATAAATCAGTTTATCACGCAGCGTGGCTTGATATTGTAAACTCTGATAAATATTATATATATTATATATCTAGATAAATATTGTTCAACATCTCAAGAGGGCAGTAGTGTAAAGATGAAGCAGTGTAAGTCATCCATCCATTATCTGTAATTGCTCATCCTTTGGAGGATTGCTGAGGGCTGGAGCCAATCTAAGCTGACAGTGGGCAAGAGGCAGGCTGCAGCTCATCCCAGGGCTGACGCATAGAGACCAACAACCATTCACACCTACGGGCAATTTAGAGTCACCAATTAACTTGTTAACCTGCATGTCTTTGGACTGTGGGAGGAAGCTGGAGCACCCGCAGGAACCACAGTTATTATAGTTTTGTATTTTTTTTAATTTTTTTTTTTAATTAATTAATTAATTAATTTTTTGACTGTAGTTTCAGTTAGTTTCCAGAGTGGGATGGTTCATTTGTTTAGTTTGTATTATTTAAAAATGTTTAGTTTTAGTTTAGTTTCAATTATAACATTGGGATATTTGTCAGTGGCAAGATTTAAGAAGTTCAGAATAGGTATTACAATATGAACACACTGTAGGAGCCATTAATTAATAACTAAGAATTAATTATACAATATCAGGTCTGTGATGGGTTTTTATTTCTTGGTATTTGTTACGTATGTGTTTCTGATATATTTGTCAATACTGTTTAATCGCCATGATTCTTTAAATAATGAGTTTATGCGCTATTCCGGGTTAAGTCTTTCTTTAATAAAAGTTATTAAATGTATTGTATAAATGTAACAAAGAACGGCACTGAAAGAGGCATCCAGAAGCTGAGCGATTCAAAGATTTGAAGAGGATGAAACTAAGCAAAGAACAGAGACAAATCACGGAGGTCGGCGCTGGCTGTTTCACTGCAGTCAAGTTCTGTGTGGGTGCCTCTGTATTTTACTACACAATATTCACAACATAAAGGAGTGACTGTAAATCATAAATCCATGCCTTTGTGGTTAGGATATTACCTCTTTTTATTCTACTCTTCCTGTGGCACAGTGTTGGCAATTATTTAGCCAATTATTTGACAATATTGTCTCAGTTACATTGTCACTGTTTTTCTTTTTCATAATGTGAAGGGCTGTAATGCAGTGACAAATGTGACTATAGCCTAGATAAAAACTGATAAACATTTTAAGTAATAAAGAAATACCAGGAAGCTATGCAAACCAGATGATGATCAAGTTGATGACAATGCTGTGCCAGATATAACTGTGATTAATGATAATATTGGTCCAGGGGATAGCACTTCTAATGTTGGTCGTGAAACATGCTTATCTTCAAGGTCATCAACCTCCTCTGCATGCCTCAAAGCAGAGGCTGAAAGAGCTGCTCTTCTTGCTATGGCAGCAGTCTCCAAAGACAAACACGAGCTGGACATGTTTCAACGACTCCCTCCCCAGTTGCGATTAGGGGGAGAAGGTAAAGATGGCGGACACCTACAAGTTTCTGGGGGTGACACTTAACAATAAACTGGACTGACCACACTGAGGCCCTCTACAGTAAAGGACAGAGCAGGCTGTTCTTT